CATAAACACATTGAACGCCATTATATCGAGTTAAAACATCCCAGTGGAGGAGAGAATAAACCGATATGGAAACAAGACGAACTGACGTGCTACGGTGAAGAATGTGGTCTGAAAGAAATACCCCGCGAACTGTTCACTGAGTATCGAAATGTTAAACGAATCTTACTGAAGAATAATGACATTGATACTTTAAGCGACAGCATTAATATGTGGGAGAATTTGGAGGAATTAGATTTGTGTGACAACAAACTAACTCGACTACCAGACTCAATTGGCGAGTTAATAAAATTACAACGTTTGTTTATTCAATCTAATCAAATAACCACACTCCCAGACTCGCTGACAAAGTTGACAAATCTGAATCAATTTTTTTGCGATGAGGGTCCCGGGATGTCAAATACAGCGGTGATGTTAATTAACAGAATCGAAATTGAGAAACTAATGATGCAATTATTTCCGCATAAACATATTAAACACCAGTATATAGAAATGACACATCCAAGCGGTGGAGAAAACAAACCAGTATGGGTGGAGAATGAACAAGCTTGTTATGGTAATGGATGTGATTTGAAAGAAATCCCCGGTGAACTCTTTACAATCTATCGACATGCAAAGAATATAGTATTGAATAATAACTGCATTGTGAAGATACACGATAGTATTATCGTGTGGCAGAATTTAGAAACGTTATATCTGAATAGGAATAAACTGACACATTACCAGACTCAATTGGCGAATTACAGAAACTGCGTATTTTGTACATTGATGAGAATGATTTAACAAGTTTGCCAGAGTCACTCGTTAATCTCAAGAATCTCAGTGCATTTCACTGCAGTGCCATTCCAGGGTTGTTAAAGAAATCAGTATATTTGACGACGAGAGCTCAAGTTGAAACACTTTGGAAAGAAATCTTCCCAGATAAGTCGTACAATGGCCATCATAATATTGAAGCAAAATGTAAGTAAATGACTCTTGCTGATGTCTGTATCTTGTTATCTATGGGCCATGTACAGCGGGGGAGTCATCACCTGCACATGCGGCAGATGGCCATAGC